ATACAGGCTTTCATGAACTCAATGAGAGAAAATAACTGCATGGTCCATATTTACGTGCGAGCGTCTCAGCTCCAATCTTAATCACACTAAAGAATCTCAATAAGTCATTGAGCATAATTGCATGACACTCAGTAATATAATTCAACTGATCATCATAGGTCTCAAACAATGAATAACCAACACTAAAATGCCCATTGTAAGCACATTCTCCTGTTCTCACATCCAAATGCACTAAAGCCTTCTAGAATAACACTACATACCAACTTTTACATACAAACTGATATAGCACATAATGAATAAAACAGTGAGAGTAGTTAAATAATGTGACACTAAATGAGCTATACCATATCAATTTATATGTAAAATTCAGTATAAATAGTTTATGCTAGTCTCTCTCGTCTCTGAGCTGAACACAAGCTTATTTTGATCAATCGTAACTCAAAATCTAGTCACACTTCCAGAAACAAACCACCTTTTCTGTGCCACGTGGCCACAACCTACGAACTAAAAATACATTCCTCACCCGACCCCACACTCACAATTCTTTTAAGTCCACTAAAGTCAACAATTAACAACACTCAAGCAAAAAACAAATTTAAAATTCACAAAAAAAGAAAAAAAGAACACAGTGAATCAATCAGCAAACAAATTCAAAATCAAAATTCAATCGAAAAACGAAAATTAAGTTTCAAGCAAAGTGAGAGCTCACAAGTCGATGACTGAGATCCATTTGATAGTAGCGTAAACTGAATCCGGATCGTCCCGGCGGTATAAGTCCTTGACGGAGCTAACGACGGATGCAAAGGATTCCGCCTCACGCTTCGTCTGCTCAGCCACAGGCGGCGGCAGCCACGCATTGTAGAGATGCATGTCCGTTTCTGTTTGACGACGATTCAGTTAAGTGAACTGAACTGAAAACAGGAGTCAAAATTGAAACGAAAGGAAATAAAATGAAAAATGAAGCGATTGAATTTCGAGAGTTCGGGGTTGTTGTTAGAGTATTTATAGAGATGGAATTCGAGTCTGATTTCTTTTTTGTCAAGAAACTCGGATTTTGGATTTGTTTCTTCAAAAATTTTAATTTAGATTTTTGCTGGGTTTTGAAGAAGGAAGGGTGTATTTATTTATTAACATGGGATTGAGTTGACTGGTTACCGCCACGTGGGGTTCAGTCATTAGTTCAGAGAATAATAATTATGAAATAATTGTATCTTGGGGAACGGGAAATATATTTTTTTTGAAACTGTTTTTCAAAAATGTTTTATGTATTTCTCTGTTATTAAAACATTGTCAATAAATAATAATAATAATTATAGACTATGCCTCAAAAATGGAATAATTACACTCTTTCCCTAAAGTTTTGCCCAAGTAACACTTGAGTCTAAAACAATTCGCCAAATTATAAATAGCAGCCAAAACGTTACCAAAATATTCTACTAAACTCACATTTACTAAACCAAATTTAGGGGCTTTTACATGAATTTTCCACGTGGATGAGATCGGTCGAGTTGTCTCAATTGGAGATGGGATTGCACGTGTTTATGGATTGTACAAGATTCAAGTTGGGGAAATGGTTGAATTTGCTAGTGGTGAAAGAAATAGCCTTGAATCTTGAGAATGGTTATAAATTTCTCAAAAACACTTTATTATTAAAATAATATTACATATTTACACACTCAAAACATAAGTAATGCTCTATATATATAATTATACACAAAAAATTATCAGTAATACTACACTCATAAATCTTTCTTAATAACTTTTTTTCATAAATATGATATATAAACTCATAAATGGTTAACTCGCAATGAGTTCCACCTGCTCAACAATGGGTCACATCCGATTAAATGCGAATTAACCAGTTGCGAACTGTCAGATTAGTATTTGTGAAAGAAATTTGTTAAAAGTGTTTATCAACCTATCTTTATTCAAAATTATTATTAAAAACTTTTAGAGTAGTTTTAAAGCCGTTTAAAACGAATATAAATAATTAAAATATATTTTATTTTTTTTATTTTTTCTTGTATATATATCAAAACATGCTATCATTAGTGTGATTATTTTTTATCCGGTAATAGTGTGTCACGTTCTTGGAATGAGTAATTTATTAATACATTTTAAATCTTGTGTAACAACAATAGATATTATATCGAAAATAATATAATTTTAAATACTTAAAATTATAATTTTCTATATAAATATGTAAATAAAATTATTAAAAATATCAAAAATAAAAAAACAAAATGCAAAATTGAGAATTTGTTGGGTGAGTGAGAAAAGTTTGTGGAGTACACGTGGCGCGCAATTAGCCAATAAATCTCAAAAAGATTTTGGAGGCCTAACGTCGGCGCTGACTCAACAGAGGAGACTTTCTATCAGCCGTTGATTTAGTCAGCTTCCAAATAGCGACTCTGGGCCCCCGGCCCATTTGACTTAAGTTAAAAGTGTTGAGATTGGGCCGTTCATTGTGGCTTCCAGAGTGTGAACTTAGTAAGTGGAGAATTAATACTTGGAATTTCATTATAATAGAAAGATTCTATTATTTATTTATTAACAGTTTTGTCGAATTTAATTCTTCTACGTGAAGCTTTTTATTATAAGCATTCATTTATTTTCAATGATAATGACATTGTTGAAAGGGTATTTTGGGTATTTAGAAAAATTACGGTTCATCACCAACAACCCGTTAAAGATCGTTTAATTTTATCTGCTTCTACTGTTTTTAAAAATATTATAAACTCTATTAGAGTATCAAAAGCCCATGTGAATATTCTGAAATTTTTAATATACGGAGCAAATGCAAGCGTCAAAGCGCTCATTTTTTATACTTTTGATTGTACGGTTTGAAAAGTGAGAGCCTAAACGCCCACCTTTAGTCCACCAATTGAAAATGATAAGACGTCTATATTAGAGAATGATTGTATATAACATAAAAAAGAAACACTGCTAATTTATAGAATAATTTTTCATGGACAAGGGACAAAATGTTATCGACTTTAGTACAATTAGATACCCAATTATAATTCAAGTAATAATAAATGAAATATGATTATGATTTATGTTGGAGAATCAAATCCTTTAAAGATGAAACTAACAAAAAAAAAAACACCCCCAAAAGAAGGCAATTTTCTGTTGGAAATATTCTGTATATCCTATACTTGATTTTATATTCATTCTTTTTTTTTATGAGTGCTCCATGTAATATTCTCATGGTACTGATTATAAATGTTTCTAATGGAATCTTTGGAAAAGCCTCTTTGATATGTAATCACTTTTCATATATCTTCTTTAATGGTGTATATGTACCTCTCATAGTGTACATATTTATTCTTCTTTTTTTTTACTTTTTGAGTTATTTATACCATTAAGAATTTTATGTTACGTCACTTATGTGTAACTTTTTAAGGTAATATTATAGGGTACGTTTGTTTTATTATTTTGGATAAGATTTTGGGAATATTATTGGGTAGTTGAATATGATGAGTATTACGAGGTAAAATTTAAAATTTAACAAAAAAACCTCATAGGTTTGCTAATTTAACTAAACACCCCAATATATAAAATTTTTATAAAATGACAAAAACATCCCTACCCACCCACAGTGCTAGATTCTGACCACCACTGCTAAAAGCTGGCCAGAAAATGGCGTTACGACGCAGACCGGTCGTGTGTCGATATGACATTTTTCGGCCAGATCCATTATGGATCTGTCCGTCGACTGCGACAAAAGGCCAGATTTGGCCATTAGTGACGGCCAAAGAAATGGCCATCGTTGACCTGGCCGGAAACGGCTAGATCGGCGAATTACCGATAATTTCCGATCGTTTCTACACCGTTGTGACAGATTCTGGCAACTATAGGTGGATAGGGGTGTTTTTGTTAATTTTTAAACTTTTTTTTTCTAAGGGTGTTTATTTAAAGTAATAAACTTAAAGGGTCTAAAAGTAATTAAAAAAATATAATAGTATTTCCCAAATAATTAAACAAACAAGTATTTTGGGAATATGATAGGGAATAGGGTTTGAAATAATAAAACAAACGAATCCATAATAACTTTGGAAACTGAACTCTCCGAAAGAACTCAATAGCCAATACCATAACTAGTATAATAAAACCAGTCTACTGAAAACGTAAATATTTTCACTCAAGATTTTAATTTGAATCGTAAACCTAGACATATTTTGACATGGTTGTGTGGGATCAATTTCTTGTCACGATACAAGGTCAATAGGTGAACAAACTCTTTTAACTTAAAACATGTACACATTAAAGAAGAATAAAATCAATCACATTTTGATATGTTCAAGGGAATATAGTAGAAGTCTTAAAAGTTATTTGGTACAAGTGGAGTGTAAATACATGTGTATGAGTAATTCTTTTGTTAAGATATCATGATATTAATTTTATCAAAACTATGTTTAAATACCATTAAATTTATCATTAGGGAATTAAATTGAGATTTTATAGATGAGTTCAATGATAATTTAGCGTGGCTCTTACAAAATTAATATCAGACTATCCTAATTAAAGAACCGTCGTGTCTATATATGTATATATAAGTAATGTTAGGTTCACAACTCAATCTTACAATAAAATCTTCTCTTACAATCCTAGATATGACACTCATTATTGGTCAACTCATAAAATGGTCCTGTTTGTCTATTTGTAAGCTAACCAATGACGACTTACCACGTGGAAAGTTATGAGAGAGGAATATATATATATATAAAAGTCACTCCCATTTTCATCTCCTAAAGAAAGCAAAAGTTGGGCTATTCCAAGACTGGGCTTTACAAGTTGGGCTGGTAATGAAACCAAAATAGGCCCAACTTCCTAAGCCCATACAAAATAAAAATAACCGTTGAATTAATTGCCATAATAAAACAAACGGAGAAATCTGACCGTTGGCGGAGAAATATAACCGTTGAGCCTCTCTGGCTTTTAATAGCAATTTAAATATCTCAGTCTCCCTCTATCTTCGATCACAAAAAAACCAAACTCTCTAAAATCAATCTTCAATACTCTCGAGCTCTCTTCAATTCTTTTCGCTTGCACTGTTAATTCATTCATTCATTTGTTTATTCTTTGCTGTTCATTATTAATTCTTTGTTTGTTTTTTGAGTTTTGATCTATGGCCGAGACGAAAGATGCCCATGTAGTTGAAATCCCAGTAGATGAAGAGCATCAAAACAAAGCTCTGTATTGTATGAAGACAATCACAGCAATTCAACACCACCCTTTAACGGAGATTTCCCAGAGTCCTGGCCATCTCTTGCTCCTCAAACTGTGGCAAAGAGATGAAGATCTTTTTGGCCGGAGGATTGCTCTCAAAGAGTCGAGAATGGACTCCATCAGAAGAGAAATGTTTCAACTTTGTTGCTTCTTTTTACTCTTCCATGGCTTGTTCTTGACCATGTTGTTTACATCTTCTGTAAATGTGAAACAAGAGAGCAATTGTAAGAAATGGTGGATACCCTCTTGTTTGTCCTTGTCAACTTCACTTGTGTTTGTGTTTCTGGTTCAGGTTAAGCTTTACAGGTACTGGAAAGTGTGGAGGCAATTGCAGAGAGAGAGAGGTGACAATAGAGCTCTCACTAGGTGTATTCAGGAACTGAGAATGAAAGGGGCAAGCTTTGATCTGTCAAAGGAGCCTCAAAGTGGAAAGAGAATGAAGAGTTCAAGCGTTGAGATCAAATGGAAACCACTCACCTGGTGTTCCCAAAATTTTATCACCATATGTCTTCTTGGTTTCTCAGGTTTGATCTTTCCTGCTAGCAAGTTCATTCTCTGTGGGTTCTGATTGTAAACAATCAAACTATGCACATTTTTGAGAGCAGAATTACATAATTCATGAATGCTATAAGGTACTACCCAGAACTCTATTCCTGATAGCAGGATCTGTGAATTTTCACATGTTATTAATCTTAATTCTTCCTTGTTATGAATATGCATTTACTAGATTTCGGACGAGGCGTGTGCTATCAGGAGGAAAGAACATCTGAATCAGTCTCCTTTGATCTCTTTAAATGAAAGGGGGATGAAGCAAATTGGTCCGATTATTATTATTATCACCAGAAGAAGTTGCGAAATCAGTAGTCCCCAAGGTGGCAAAAGATTTTGTGTGAAGGGTTCATGGCTCCACTCTCCAGGTGCAGCAAAAATTTTGTATTGAGAGAATTGGTGCATTGACTAATTGTGTACAACTGAGAGAGAAAGAACATATACAGCGGTTTATTCATTGTAATTCAAAGAGTTATTATTCACATAAAGAGAAAAAAAGTTTTGTTTCTTTCATTCATCACAAACTCTAGCTCGTGTGGACATGGACTGGTGAATGTTTCATCTAAACAGTATCTCCCCTGGCAAGTTCTCATCTTGACAGTATCTCCCCTGTGAAGTTCTGAATGTCAACTGCTACGTTACACATATCACTGTGGAGTAGTTACATTGCTTGGTCGAGAATCAATAATTCTTCTACAGTTATGCATGAAGGCTATAGTTCTTTTCTTGTTATACAAATTTAAAACACTCAGGTGTGCTTGTTTCTCTATTTTGGGAAAGAGATATATATTTGTTTTCTTATTTTGAAAATTAAATTATATTATATTATATTCAATTATTTTTAAACCCTTTAAGTTTGTTAATTTAATTAAACACTCCCAACAAAAAAAAATTTAAAAATTGATAAAGACACCTCCACCCACCATCCGACAGTGGTGGCTGCCTGCTGGCATTTAATGGGTGGGTCGTGTTTTTGTTAATTTTTAAAGTTTTATCGTAAGAGTGTTTAGTAAATTAACAAATGTAAGGGGTGTTTTGTTAATTTTTAAATCTTATCTCATAATAGCCACATTTTTCAAAAATTCTACCCAAAATAATAAAACAAACACACCAAATTCTTTGTTAAATAAGAAGTCTTCGTTTTATACATGTTTTACTCTTAACCCCTCATTTAAATCAGAAGTCTTCATTCTGAATGTCAACTGCTACAGTACACATCACATTGTGGAGTAGTTAGATAGCTTGGTTGAAAACCAATAATTCTTCTACAGTTATGCATGAAGGCTATAGCCTTTTCTTGTTATATAAACTTAAAACACTTAATTCTTCTTTGTTAAATCAGAAGTCTTCGTTTTTGTATATATATTTTACTCTAACCCCTCATTTAAATCAGAAGTCTTCGTTCTCAATGTCAACTGTACATTACACATCACATTGTGGAGTAGTTGGATTGCTTGGTTGAGAACCAATAATTCTTCTACAGTTATGCATGAAGGCCATAGTCTTTTCTTGTTATATAAACTTAAAATACTTAATTCTTCATTGTTAAATCAGAAGTCTTCGTTTTTGTATATATTTTACTCTAACCCCTCATTTAAATTTGGTCAAACCAACTAATTTACCATTGTTAAACGTCATAACTGATAAGTGGGATGCGCCGCCTTGAATAAAAAACTTAGGCATTTTATATCCACTCAAGTCACACCATCAGTTACGCGTGTTTTCAATCTTGAGGTTTAACGTTCCCCAGAAGTGACTCAGGCAAAATAAAAACTTTTTATAGTAATATTTTATATAAGAATAATCCAATAAAATTTTTTTATCACAACTTGAACCCATTATAAATGAAATAATATTATGGTCACATCTGAATTATACAACCAGATAAAAAAATAGGATAGAGTAATTATTTTACATAAATTTTATAAAATTTTTGTCTGGTTGTATGCTTGGTTATATAATTCAGTTGTAAGCATAATATTATTCTTATAAATGAGAACAAACTCCATATTGAACCCACTAGATGATCGAGTGGTCGAATAGGAACTTTGACTAATATACTCAAGAAGTCTTGAGTTCTATTCACCTTGCCCCGGAGTCTAATAGATATGGCCATTGACTTATTTAACAAATTTGATTAATCCTGAAGAAAAGAGATGGAACTCGTTAGAGACATTAAATAAATTACTTAAATTTATTTATTTAATCCAGTGCAATAATTATTTAACAAATTTGATTAATTCTGAAGAACTAGGCAGAGACATTAATTCTAGGTTGGTCCTCAAACAGAAGCTAAGAGCTGAGAATCAAAAATATTCAAAATGCCTTCCTTGAAATTCTGCATGTTCTTTCTTGTTCTCTATCGTGTATGTTTTGTTATCTGTTTAACAAGTGCAGCTGATCCAATATATGTTCGCCATGTTTGCCCAAACACAACGACTTTTAACAGAAATAGCTCCTATCAATCTAACCTCAATTTTCTCCTCTCCTCACTTGTCTCTAACGCCACCCGCAGCAATGGTTTCTCCACCGGTTTCTACAATGTCACTGCAGGCCAAGACCCTGACAAAGTCTACGCTCTCTTTCTTTGCCGAGGTGATGTCACTCCCACCACCTGTCAAGACTGTGTCAATTTTGCCACCTCAGACATTCTTCAACGTTGTCCAGTTCAAAAAGAAAGTATAATATGGTACGAACAGTGCCTTTTACGCTACTCAGACGCGTCTATCTTTTCTGCCCTGGACAGTAGTGACTACATTTTTGTTCTGTCCAACTCTAATAATGTTACAGAACAAGTCCGGTTTGACCAGCTAGTAAGGACTACACTGAAGGAAGCAGCAAATGAGGCTGTTAATTCCCCTAAAAAATTTTCGACAAGAGAGGCAAACTTTACAACCGTTCAAACCCTGTACTGTATCGTACAGTGCACACCAGACCTGTCAAATTTTGACTGTAACAGTTGTCTTCAACAATCTTTTGTTAGTTTGCCGACTGCCAGGGCAGGAGGAAGAGTTTTGTTTCCAAGTTGTTATAGCCGGTTTGAATTGTACCCGTTTTATAATGATACCGTTACTGCCGCACCGCCGCCCACGCCTGTGCTCTCTTCTCCACCTCCTAAAGGTAAAGTTGAGCTAACCCACTTTGATTTCTTTTCATTATTATTTTTAAGTAAATTTAAGCTTTCTCGCTACCAAGAATGTATTCGCTATCACTTACTATATCACTCATATATGAGAATAATGTATTTATATACTAGGTTCATTAAGAGAAATCCTAAACTACTAGGATTCTTATTGAAATCCTACAACGGCAGTAGGACCTGTGTTGGTGATCCCTTACAGATGAATCCTTGTTGTTGAAGTGGTCGCCAATTCCAACATCAATTACTAATAATATATCTTTTTATTTTTTTTTCAGGAAAAAGCGGAATTTCATCTTCAATGAATCATCGCCATCATCGCTCCAATTGTTGTAGCTGTAGTACTTCTCATAGCCGGCTATTGCTACCTAATTAGGAGAGCAAGAAAGAGGAATAGTCCTCTACTAGAAGATAACGGTAAACCTTTAAAAAGTTATTCTATTAACAATCCAAACAATTTTTTATTTTCCCATTTGTCTGTGCTCTAGAAATGTTATTGTTGCAATCTATCGGATGATTAAATTATTTAATGTCTGGCTGTGCCTGTGTAGCTGGAAATGATTACATTACAGTTGTAGAGTCCTTGCAATTTGATTTGGGGACAATTGAATCAGCCACCAAAAATTTCTCAACTGATAACAAGTTGGGCGAAGGTGGATTTGGTGAAGTTTACAAAGTACGTATAGCATTGGTTCCTATTGTATTCATTTAGACACAGTCAGTTCAACATATGATCTAAAGTTTTACTAAGGAATATTCTCAGGGCATTCTTCCTAAAGGAGAAGCAATAGCAGTAAAAAGGCTATCAAGCAGCTCTGAGCAGGTGTAGAAGAATTTAAGAATGAGGTTGTATTGGTAGCCAAGCTTCAGCACAGAAATTTGGTTAGACTATTGGGATTTTGCTTGGAGGGAGAAGAAAAGATTCTTGTCTATGAATTTGTGATGAACAAAAGCCTCGACTATTTTTTATATGGTGTGAACTGTCTCCATGAATTTCAACAATTCATGAGTCCAATATCCTTATTTTGCATTAGACCAAATGGATTCTTTTATTCATCTGTTGTAGACGGGCTAAATTGCTTCATTATGGATTTGAACTCAACTCTTAAATAGTTTAATTTGAGATTTTGATTTTGACATATGTAGACCCCAAAAGACAAGCATAATTGAATTGGTCAAAATATTACAAGTTAATTGGAGGCATCGCTCGATGAATGCTTTATCTTCATGAGGATTCTCGATTGAGAATTATACATCGTGATCTTAAAGATAGCAATATATTGTTAGATGAAGATGTCAAACCAAAAATTTCTGATTTTGGCATTGCAAGGATACTTGGAGTTGATCAAACTCAAGAGAATACAAACAGAATTGTTGCGACATGGTAAGTTTTGACTTTTGACTACTACTTGCTTTGAGGAAAGTAGATAAATGAATTCATTCATTCATTAATTATATAATCCTAACTGTTGAATCATTGTGGAAGAGGAAAAATGTCTAATGGTGGTTTACAAATTTTCTACTTGAAATTCACAAGACAAAGTAATGCGTCTTTGAGCTTTCTTTATATCACAAATGCATTCTTCATTTGGTACACCAAATAGCTCTAGGCAAGCATCTGGCACACCAAATAGCTCTAGGCATAACATCTAGCGAACCTGTTGGTTTGCCTTAAATAAATTAATGTGTAATTTTTTTTATTAATTTTCAAAGGTTCCTTGTTGTCTTTAATAATAACATGATCTCCGTTGCATAGTGGTTACATGTCTCCAGAGTATGCTATGCATGGGAAATTCTTGGTGAAATCCGATGTGTATAGTTTCAGTGTCCTAGTCCTAGAGATCATTACTGGCAAGAAGAACATAAATTTTTATCAAACAGATGGTGCTGAGGATCTCGTGACCTATGTAAGCGAATTGTATATTGTATTTCCCCTTTGTTAGAGTTAGTATCTTTACATGCAAATAGAGAGTGCAGAAATAAAAGAGTTAAAGCTGAAGCTCATTTATCATGACTAATTTATTATTTTAGGCTTGGAAACATTGGAGAGATGGGACACCGTTGCAGTTGTTGGATTCAACCTTGACAGATTCTTAATCGAGAAACGAAGTGATTAGATGCATACATATTGGGTTGTTATGTGTCCAGGAAGAACCAGCTGACAGACCCACAATGGCAACGGGAGTTCTCATGCTTAATAGTTACTCTGTCAGTCTTCCAACACCTCAACAACCAGCATTTTACATTGGTAGTAGAAGGGAGGCTTGCAATAGCATGCCAACAAAAGAGTTGGAGTTTGATCAATCAAAAAGCAAATCAATGCCATTGTCTGTTGATGATGCATCAATTACTGAAGTATATCCTCGATAATGGGGTGCTTCTTTTTTATATTGTTATTTTGGTAAACTCAAAGATTCTTCATTTCCTAGTGATCCAACATTTTTCAGGCAAATGAAGCTCGAAAGTGAGATGTGGTCAGTGTTTCCTCTTTTATATACGTCGCTTTTATTTTTTTTCTTTTGTTTATCACTTTTCAATGAATCTCGTCAACTCTCGATGTAAAATCTCATCTCAATCTTGTTTATTCTGTAAGAGTGCCATTGGGATTATTGTAACTTAAGACTTGGAATC